GTTTTATTGAGGGAAAGGGAAACCCTTCCATATGACACTCTCCTCTCTCTTCACAGAGCCACACATGCCTTTCAAAGTTCAACTGGAAAACCTTGTCACATTTGCTATTTCCGTTGTCATCTATGTGCTCAAGATACGTTTCCCGATGATGTCTCTCCACATTCCTCAACTTTCTCACAGCAGATGAGAGCAGGCTGAGGGTTCCTCTTCTCTGAGCACTTCCCCCCCACCTCCACCCCAGAGAGGTATCTTCCTCTCTGGAGGTCTAGGAAACAAGTATGTGTACATGATTTGAGGCTACTGAAGTGCCTGATGGTGCTGCAGCAGGGTTCCAGGCTAGGAACAATACTTTGAAGTTCACCCATCTTTGCCCCTGCTTTCTGGTCTCTGCAGCGAGACGTGGAGGCATGGCCTTTGAGGTACAGTACCTGCCGGGTCTCCCTGAGCGGGAGAGGAACTTTATCCAGAGGTCTCTGGGCCTGGAGATCTGGGACGGCATTTCCCAAAACAACCTTAAGTGAAGGCAGTTCAAGTTCTCAGCCAAGACGTAGGCACCAGACCGCTCTGAACTCCCAAACCCAAAATGAGGCACTTCAGCACAGCTCCCTTCCCAGCACTAAAGGCTGGTCCATGTAGGTGTCTGAGTGCGTCCTTCAGAGGGACAGCCTCTCTCAGGCTATCTCTGTTTTAAAGCTGTTTTGAGAGCATACCAGCCTCAGGCCGACAGGTCCACCTTTGTGCTTTTGTGACAGCTCATGTCCTTGAACCACTGCAGCTCACAGCTGCTGTACTGAAGCTCAGGTTTCACGATATGCCAGGAGAGACCTTCAGAGGCACCCGCACCCATCCTGGATTTCAGCCTCTGTGCTGGCACAGTCGAGAACGGAGATCGCATCTAATAAATTTTAATGAATGGTTACAAACAGAGCTGGCAGGGGAAGGGAAGCACTCCTCTCCCAGGTGGGGAACGGGAGCCAGTGCATGAAGTCGAAGGTGAAGAGCTGTAGGATTGCAGGGCACCGCATCAGCTCTGTCCCCGCTTGCTACCACCTTTTGGGCAGTGGGAGCTGATCGGCGTGGTGACTTTTAAGGGTATGTATCATCCTCCAGCAGCGGAGCAGAGGGCTGGGCAGAACAGGCAGGGTGTGCAGCTGCTGCAGTTGCTGACAAACTTTGAAAACGATCACTGCTCACTGCTTCTGTCAAAACAAACACAAGATGAGGTAAGAAGGAGACAGAGGTGTCGATACCACATCCAGTACAACAGGGCAGGAGACACATTTCCAACACGGCTGTTCCCTGGTTTAGGTAGACACTAGGCAGGCATCAGCAACCAGGTTCCTCAACCACACTACGCACAGCTTAGGGATAGGATGTGGCTGAAGAGCTGCTTGTTCTATCCGCACTGCAGAGTCCTAGCTGGGATATTTTATTTATGAATTAGCAAAAGGTTTTGAAGGATTTAAGGATTTTTTTCACCAGTAAAAGCATTACTTTAACCTCTCTGATTTTTTTTTTTTTTTTTTTTAAGGAAGAGCAGGAGAATGAGATCTGAGTATCCCTGTTCAACCTGTCTGGAAGCTCTGAAATGCAGGTGAACCCATTTCCAAATATCACAAGGCAGCAGAAGTCCTATGCTAACCTAAGCAAACTCTTCTCTCTCAGATGCCTGTAAATAAATGTTAGCAATAAGAATAGGTTGTTTTTATAACACCAGTCTTGAGTGATAGTTTTCAGGGCTTTAACAAAGTATGAAGCAAAATTATTTTCCATCTCCTGCTTTCAGAAGCAAAAGCCATTGAGGGGTTTTCAATACAGGCAGCAGGGGCATATGCTGTGATAGCTTTTGATTGCTCTGTGGCCCCTGTTGCAATACAGATGATCCCAAGGATTTTCCCCATCCTATACATTCCCCTTCCTATTCTACATGCCCCCACAGTGTTTCTCAGAGACCAGGCTTATGGCCGTTTTCCACAATATCTCCACAGTGAAAGCCTTTGTCCACCTGAAGATGGGCTCAGAGATGCCCTTTTTGTCCCTCCGGCTCCTCCACTTTGCATGAAGAGGCTGGGGAAGTAGCTGATGCTCTCACCCCTGATCCTCAATCCCAGCACATCTCAGATCCTGCCTAGTGTTCTCAGGGCAGCAAAAAACCCCAGAATTTCTAGTGAAGAACAGAAAAGTTCTTTTCCTTTTTAAATGTTGAGCTCTTCTTTTTCTTTTTCTTGTCCCTTGTGAAAAGCAAAACCCTGTGTCTTATTGCTCCCCCTTTGCAGATCTGCTCTGATTTGGCGTGTAGAGTTTTTTCCCCCAGACTCTGCTGGACACAGCTGAGGGTGGTGGGAATGCAGGCAAGGAAGAGAATGGACTCCAGCTGGGACAAAATAACTGCTGTTTATGCAGCACCCGTTGAAGTCCAGTCTTCACAGTCCACATGATCAGCAGGTCCCTTTACACTGTCTCTGTGACAATCCACCAAACAGGCACGTGTGCCAAGCAGCCATGCAAGCGGTCCAACTAGAGATTAACAGAGCACCAAATCCCGCACCAAGCAATGTCTGCCTGGCTCACATCCGCAGGCGTTGGAGGGGAAAGAGGCCTCTGGGAGGTCTGGGACTTGACTGGCTTGATCTGATCCTCAACAAGGACTAATTGCCAGGAGGGAAAGACAGAAATATTCTCCCTATTGTATCTAAGAACAGAACATCCTCAGGGGAGCAATTTCATCTCTTTCTTTTCTCAGCGCTTGCTTATCTAGATCATGTCTGTCAAGGTTCTGCAGCTCAGCAGCCTTGATAGTAAGGATCTCCAAAACACCGTGGCCGTCAGCAGAGATCTCAATTTAAAACTTTAAGGGGGGAGAAATCTAATGATTTTGCTCAACTGCCCAGTCAAGCAATTTACCTTGCAGGTGTCTCCTGGAGTGGATGCCACCTGCCCACTTGGCAGGTCAGAGCAGCTCCCCCACATGGCAGACGGTGGTGCAGAAGGGATTGTAGTCAAATTCTCTGCTAATGCAAGTGGAAAGCTCTTTCAAAATCTACAGAGCTGGCCCAGTGGAGACTCTGGCTTGAAAGCATCCTGAGAGGATGACTTGGGTCATCCAGGAAGTCCTCCTGGTGAATGGGTGGCAGTGTCTTGATCTCTCAGACTGGTGGCTTCCCTCTCTCACAACAAATGACTTACAGGGAGCCATTCCTACGAGAATCCATAGCAGGTGTGTGGCATTTCTCGTGGAGGATGGCTGAGTGTTTGGCCGGGGAGAGAGTGTGAGGACAAAAGCGCCGATACATAAACAGTGCAGTTATGAAAACATCGCATCCACACTCTGCATCTATAGCGGAGCAGTCAACCCCTCCTCTGACAAGTAGGCAAGGCTGTTGTAAAGGTTAAGCAGGCTTATAAAAACTCCAAAGTGAGTGGTAACTCCAGACCAGTTAACTGGATTCTGAGTCCTTATGAGCTGAGTTTGGGCAATGATAGCTTTAGCCTACTGCAGACCCAGCATGGCTGGATATGTAAAATGAGCTTGTTACTGCTAGTGGATTTCACAGCAGCATAGGTTAAAAGAGGGGCTGCTGCCTAAGCATAGGTGTCTAGCATCCTTTATGGGTTGCTAGGATATCCGAGATATTAATAAAAAGCTGGCAGATATGGTACAGAGTTTGTGCCCAACAGGAAGGCCAGGTAGGCTACCCCAGGGTCCCTATGGTGGCACCAGATGTCTATGTTTAGGCAACTGACTCCTGTCCCTCCCATCTGCTGCTGGGCGTACAGGTGTGGGGATTGCTTTGCACTTTGTACGGCTGTCACTCAGAGGTGATGAGATGATGTGCAAGTGCTGTATGCAGCTACTAGTAATGCACTCAGCACATCGGTGCAGAAGTTGAAATACTTATGACTGCCTGTATAAAAGCTGTCAGTCATGAGTATACTGCCTGTATAAAAGCTGTCAGTTTTATTTCCACTGGTAGAGCTGAGCTGAGGTGTATATTGGGGTCAGGACTGAAAGCAGCCCTGGAATATCTTCCAAAGTAGGAGTAAATCATTCAGCATCCTGTACACTGCCACAGATATGAGTCATTCCAGAAAGAGCTGGGTACTCCCACATTGGATACCTTTACTCTTTTGGGACTTTTGGGGTAGCAATCTGCCAAAGGCAGACATTGGGATCAGAGGGCATGGCAGCTAGCAGAGGAGGTTATAGCTTCTCTGAAGCCTGTTCTGCACTGATCTCTACTTCTAAGAATGTTATCACTGATCTCTGATACATTCCTGCCCTCACCTGTGGTGGTTGCCATAATCCCCCATCCTGCTGCTGCACCTGGCTCTGAAGACCACAGAGGCACTCCTTGTGCTTTCAATATTTCTCCTCAGCAGCAGATGTATTCCTAGTTCTGGTAATGGTAATAACTGAGCCCCTCAAACTCTGTGAGAGTCTGTCTAGGTTGCTCTTTGCTGGTTCCTGTTTTGAGGTCATCTAAGTATCCCATCAGCCTTTCCCTGCTGCACCTGCACCACAGTTGTTTGTGTAGGATAAAAGCTGAAGGTGGATGCATGAAGCACTTCAGAAGTGGCAGGGCTGCTGGGGAAAAGCTCGTCTGCAAGAGCGTGATCTCTTTCCACACACTGTAGGACAACTCCCACATTAATGACTGTTTGGAGCTGGGAGAAATTGGGGAGCAAGAAATTTGGCTTGTCATTATTACTGAGTGAAAACCACAGGATTCTTCTGTCGCTTTTCTCTCTGTCCGTATGCAGGCAAAGCTTCTGTGTGAACTGCAAGGAGGCTTGAATGAGTATGAAATGCAGACTGTAAGTAGGTAAAGATGAGGATCTACTTCTTGTGCAAAGGGTCACATGGTAAGGGAGTTGCTGGAACAATCATATATGCAGTCTGTGAGGAAATAATAGCATCAAAAAGGAAACAGGTACAGATTATTTGCCTTGCCAAAACCAATAAAGACAATAGTACTCACACCCTGGAGCTGGCTCTCTGCTTACACCTCTACTCTGGGGTCTGTAAATCCACGCTTGCCTTCGTTAACCAGAGTGGGCCTCTCAGTTCTTGTGTGCCAGACCAACACCTAGAGGGAATCACAAAGAGTTCAGGGGCTCTGGATGCCATGGAAACGCTGAGAGTGGCATATCCGTCAGGTGGGATCCTCAGCAACCCGGGGCTTGCAGTGTTTGAAACATGTGACTCGAAGGGGTTGAACCTGGGAGAGACTTCACAGGAGCATGAAACAGTGACAAGGAGGAGGGATCGTTCTGACTGAAACCCCAGACTCAACCCTCTGCCAATACTCCTGGATTCTGGAGAAGCGATCTAGGTGCAAATTGTATGGCTGAGGGTCTTTATTAACAGAGTGCATAGCATTAACTGTTCCTCAGCACTCTCTGAGCTTCCCGTCTCTGAAGCACTTGGCAGGCTCTGCCCGTCTCTCCCAGCACCGTTGGGCGCTGATATGCGCCAGCACCAGGGCAGGCACAGTGGAAGGTGGAGGAGCACGGCAGGAGGCTGCAAAAGCAGCCAGGACCCAGCAAGGAGAACGTATCTTCAAGGTCTCTTGTCCTACTCACCTTTGTGCAGTTGGCTGCTTTGGGCTCCAGCCCGTCCATAGTCACTAGATCCTTCAGCAGACTGGTTTCCTGGTAGCCTCCTTTAACTCCTTCCAGCTTGAAACTGGCCTGAGGCTTCTCCAAAATCAGCTTGATGCTGATAGCAAATCCAGCCATGTCAATAGCAAAGGGCCGGTTAGGATCAAAGACGGTTTTCCAGCCCACCACCTTCCCTGCTGGGCTCACTTTTGGGGATTCATATCGCAGCCCCCCAACGAAAGCCACTGGCCAGACTGACACCCTCCTTGTGTAGCGCATCTGTGTGCCAGAAAGAAACAGTGCTGTGAGAATTCAGCCCCGCAAGGTTTGCCCCAACCCCTTTAGTGTACCATCCTCTGCTTTCATTGGCACCTGTCCTCCCCCGTTGACTTCCCACACAATCGCATAGCTCTCGGCAGCACAAGCTCTTGTTCACCTCTGCTGCTGCTAGAAGAGCTACAGCTTGCAAAGCCACAAGGCTGTTTTAGCACGTTCTTCTCTGAACGCCAAACTCACTGCTTTTCCGTGCCCACGTTCAGTCCCTCAGAAGAAGGAAAACCTTTGGTTTTCTGATCTCATCTGAACTTTTATCATTTTTTTTTGGTAAAATTTTATCATTTTTGTGAACGCCAAACACAAATTCTACCGGGCCTCTAGCTCCGTATTATCAACTCCACTCAGTCCAACTTTACCCCCATGCAAGTAATCTCCCTCCCTGACTGATGCTTCTTTGTCCTCATTTATTGCAAATTCCCCCCACCCTTGTTCTTCCATCCATGGCTACCAGCTAGGAGTGGGGATTTACTGAAATTGTCAGAAAAGACCTGGAAAGAAAGAAGAAAGGATGAGCTTAACAGAGATCTAAAAACTTCTGAAAACTGGAAATGTGTTCTGATGCATAACTCTGTATTTCCAGTGGTGTAGTACAGTTTGGCTTAAATTGGTGACAAAGGAATTTACTGAATACTCATTTTTGCAAGTTTACAATAGAATTGGCATCTCACAAAAGCCAGGTTTCCCGCAGAAGGCTGGGCAAGCTTCTGCGATCCCAGGGGCACAGCCCTGCTGCGGTGGCTGGAACTCAGAGTACAGAAGGGCAGCCAAGGAGAAAAGGTGAACTAGAAAGTCAGTCAACTTTTCTAACATCCCCTACCCATCACACCCCTACAACAGTGCGGATTTATGCTTTGCCAGAAGGTTGTCTTCAGTACTTATTTCAATCAGGTCAGCTCTCCCTGAGGAGAGGTATAAATTCTGCAGTCTATATCCCCTGGTCCCTGGCAAAAGGGGCTCCAGCTGGTGCAATGTTGTGTGAGAGGCTATTTGCATCTGCAGCCTACACCATGATGGACGTGCTTTTTGCTGTTTCAGCCCTTTCAAGGATAGCTACTGGGTTTACATAAACGATAGGTTTGCATCTGCCCTATACCCAGCTCCCACTGAGTGCTGGGTGGGCGAGGACGGCTCTAGGCAGCATGCCAGAGCCCTTGTCTCCCAATTGATGCTAGAAGTCCACATGGTAGCCCTATCTTAGAGGTCTTTGCAAGTGCATCTGGCCTCAAGAAGCTTTGCAGCTGTATTCTGCTTTTCTGTCCCATGTAATTTTACAGCTCTTACCTCTTCAAAGAGCTCCAGGCTGTAGGTGTTATCATCATCGGCAAAATACACTACCCCTTCCGGTGGTGCGGTGTTGCTGAAGCTGTCTCTCAGCCAGTGCAGCCCCAGGTTCCTCTGCAGCGTCCCCCTTGGGGTGTGGGATGGGATCCAGGACAGTCCCAGCTTCAAACTCTTGGGTGTCTCCACATTGAGGTGGGTGAAGTTGAGCCCTGCCTTCTCCAGCAGGTTGGATACCAGGTTGGTCCTCCGGGGCGAATCCTCCACCACCACCCAGTGCAGGTTCTGTACGTGTAGGAAGGTGTTGGCCAGACGGGTCAGCTCAGCTTTTTGCACTGGTCGGGTGTAGGTTGGGGTGATAACGAAGATGGTTGGCAGGGTGTCTGACCATGGGGGAGGCCTGGAGTACACATAATTCTGGATGACTTTAGGCGTTGCCCCTATGCTTTGCTGCTGCCGAATGCATGATGGGAGGCCTTCTTCTCTCAGTGCAGCTGTACTGTTGAGAAGAGCTTTAGAGGTCACGTTCTCATCAGTCTCTTCTGGGACAAGAGGAAAGAGGGAAGGAAGAAGAAGAAAGATGTTAGAGAACTAATCACTGCTGGGCTGTCTTCTCTCCAGGGAGTGGCTGGGGACACATCTGTCTGGAGTCAATGCTCAGCACATCAGCATCCTCTCCCCAAAGCCAGCCTAAGGTGCATGTTTAATGTGCTCTTAAGAACAGTTTGTGTGCTTGCTGCAGGCAAACCCTGAGGAGACCTTCAGGCAAGTTTGTCCTTGTTTAACCCATCCCATGGGAGAGCATCTCCTACCAAGGATTCACACCAGCAATCATCACAACCACCAGCATGTTGACAGCAGAACTCTTGCACTTACTTCTCAGCAGGCTGAGGTAGCGGGTGGTTGGGTACTGGTGCCACAAAGTTAGGAGAAGAGCCCATGGCAAGGCAATCAGGAGCGTGGTAAGAAGGTTACGTCTCCTCAGCATGCTGCAGAGACCTTCCAATGCCCAGGCATCTCTCTACCTTTCATAGAAGAAAAAAGAATAAGGCCTCCAAAATAACAGTCACCACAAGCATTAGGACAGTAAGTCTAGAGGCCAAACTAATAAACTGAGTTTGGCTTGTTTGGAGAGAGGCATGATAAGTGTTGGGCACCAAACCAGTGAAGCGTTTGTCAAAGTCTAAGTTTACAAGGAGCCCCATTAATGTTGCAGGCCTGAACCATCCTCCAGTTGCCCTGGCCAATTCCCGTGCTATTGAATGGAAGCTTTTATTTATTTATGTTGCTATAAAGAACCTCCCACTGCCCCATGATGAACCCACTGTCCTTGACTTGGAGTTGTTCATGTTGCTGATTCTGAAGCCAGAGAGGACTATTACTTGCCGCCTCTCTGGGGCTGGTATTCATTCCTGAGCTTTGTGGCGACTATTTAATTTGCTTCTTTTGTAGAATTTTTCTAAGCTGTGTGCAAGACTTGTGTTCCTGCATATGCAAGTGGACAAAACAGAAAATGTCAGGGATCCTCAAGATAGCCAACATCTCTTCCTTTCCTGCAGTTTTAATTCATCCTCCTTGTGCAGGTGCATTGAGGCAATCAATGATGCACGCTATCACCTACTAAGTTTTCCACAAAACCCCTGCCTCAGTCATTCCACACTGCTGGTGATGCCTGCTGAAAGTTTAATTATTCCACATCCCTTTCTACTCCCGGCTTGCAGTGTTTGGCCACTGCAGCATTTAGTTTAAATCACAGACTTCAGAAGACTTTGATTTCTTTGTTAGTATTTCTAAGTACGTGATCATGAGATCCGAGGAATTGCAGAAGTTAACATTTGTTTTTGAAAGTCCTTCTGTAAGGAACTAAAAGAAAATAAAGAGAAATAAAAGACAAAAGTATCAGGAATAATCAACAACAGGGGGTGGCTTATTTACAAATGGTCCAAGCTACAGTACTCCCGTGCTTGATTTTGCACAATTGTTGAGCACCTTCAGCTCCCACTAGTTATGGGAGTCAGTCTGTCTGGAAATAAGATCCTTGGCTTCTCAGGGTAACCATGCCTTCAACCAAGTATCCAACGTTAATGATCAGTTTGGAAAATACAGACCAAAGTATTTGGACATCTATTGCAGACCACTTGTCCAGGGACATAACTCAGCCCTGTGTAAAGTCCTGGTGTGATGAGGTCCCAGTCCTGGCTCACCTGTTTGAAAGACCCTTAACAGCCTGTGCACAGTAACTCATACGAGCATGAGATCCCAGAGATGACTTCTGAAAGTCCAACATCAAATGGGCTTGTCTATGCATGTGCTGCCTTCTATATGGCTCTGGCACACTGTCAGGAACATTTTCCTCCAACTTATAGCTTCTGCTTTTGTCCCTCTCTGGGTACAAAATCTCCTGATACTGTTTTTACACACCAGCAACAAAAGCAGTGCTCCAGAAAGAGGGATCCACTTCTGATGCTGCGGAACAGTGGCTCACGGAAACACTGAATGGTACAGAGCAAACTTTTTGTTACCATCTGAGGACTTTCTGCTATCACTCTAAGCAGGTTGCCTGATGTCTGACAGCTGGATTTTATTCCCCTCTCGCTCCTGGTAATATCTGTAATCTGTTTCCTCTGGGATAACCCTTCTGATGCCAAGTACTTCTCCTGGTGGACTTCCTTGCTACCACAGTGATGCTCACTAGGAGGCTAAAGGGAGCATAAAACTTCCATAAGCCTCCTGCAGGGAGATTTCTGTTGGGAAACTACAGCCACAGGCCCTGGGAACCGGAGAGCTGCTGAACAGCACAGCCCCAACAAGGCCTTCTTTCTCTCCTGGGCTGAAGGCAATTTAAGGGAAAAGGGCATCACCCTGATACAAACGATGGAAAGTAGGTTCAAATTGGTTGACTCTAAATTCCTACACTGCCCGTATTTCCTAGGTGTACTGAAGGCCTTTTGTCTAAAACCAAGGTCCTTAAAGGGACATAAGCACAATGAGTGCAAAGGAAACTCCTTGCCCAGGATTCGAGCCCAGCACCTCCTCATCTGTCCAAAGGGGAAGGATTGCCCTCCTTCAGCCTTAGAGAATCGTGTGAGAAGAAACATGACAGCTGGTCCAAAAGGGCTCTGCTTTGCAGTGACAGCAGCCACATGGTACTCTTGGAAGGTATCAGGGGATATTATTCTAAATTAATCCTCTGGGACCTTCTTGGGACCTGTCTTTAATTTTTTCCCTTGACATTTTACCTTGGTCTCCTGACAAAACAAGGATTACGCAATCACAGGGCTCATCAGTGCCCTACTGCCAGTAACTATCAAACCCATTTCAGCCAAATCTGACAGAAGACTAGTATGTCTCACAACTCTTCTGGCCTGCAAGTAGATACTTACAAGCCCTATTAAGGAAATTGCTGCAACATGAGCTCACTCCGTGTTAGACACCAAAAGTACCACGCTGGAGCAATCCCTCTAGGGAACCTATCTCCACTGCTCCCCAAACCAACCGTTTGTGGTTATAATCTCTGATGCTTCTAACCCCCTCACTCAGGGAACACTGGTGGCCATTCCTTTACTTTCAAGCAATGGAAAACTGATCAACAAGTGGGCCAAGGAACCCCTGTGGCCGAGGGCATATGGGATTCTTTTGGTGAAGCCAGCAGGAGCCTTGTGCAGCAAACACGCTGGCTCTGTATAACTTCTTTGCTTTCTGATGGCTAAGTCCAGGGCAGGTACAAGTATCTCCTTCAAGCTTTAGTGCCGAAAGTGTAGGTGTTTGTTAAGCTACAGATCTAGGCTAGACACAGGGCAGGATGGTGTTACCCACAGCAGGGGCTGCTTTTCCTCCAGGAAATCCTTTCCCTTACTAGCGTAGCAGCACAGAGCAAAGCTTCCCATCACTTGGGGCCACAAGAACAGAAAAAGCCACCAAAGAAATCCAAGGAATGCTCTGCACTGCTTTGTAACAGCAGCAGACACCTTGGTCCACCTGGGCCCGGCTCAGGGTCATCACAGCTCTTTGCTTCCTTTCGTATGCTTGCAATTACAAATGTCCCTGCACTGGAGTCAGGCAGCCAGTGTTTTTTCCCTTTAATAAAGGCCCTTAATTATACAGGCAGTTTCTATGCAGCAGGCCTGCCACTGCTGCAAACTCAGGTCGCTTCTGTAGGGAAGGAGGGGAGGAGGCGGCGGTGGCAGCTGTGTTACCGGGAGAGCACAGAGGAGAGTGGATCAGAGTTAGAAGAGCTTTAACAAATTCCCTTTCTAGTTCTTTCTCCTCCTCCTCACAGCCAGCCCTGTTCATGCCTCCCGAACACTGCAAACAAGCAGAGATGCTGTCTGTGTGTGCAACTCCCTTGGCGCTCCTCGCTTATTTATTTCTACATGCACCTTCTCTCTATTGCTTTTCCAAAGCATGCAACGCTGAAGAAGTTAAACCCCACATAAAGCACCAGGTCACTTGTGAAGCTCACAGAGGAGTCTAACTTTGACCTCGTTTTCAGAAAATCTGTCTTGGAATACTTTATTTTCTCTTTAAAACCTTACCTTCTCTTCCCCCGCTGCCCCCCCTGCATCCATCATGCTTGTGTTCTTCTCTGTTCCTTGACATCTTTCACCTGCCTTCTCTCAGTCCTTAAGAGTCTCTCTTCTTCCCTGTTTCCAGGACCAGAGGAATCCCCTGGCTTACTAATAATTTTAGCATTCATCTTCTCTCCTTCCCCACACAAAGGCCCTTTGCATTTTCTTAATGTCCACCCCACATGGAATATTTCCCACAAAGTGGCCCATTAAAGCGTCAGACCATCCTTTTGAAAACACTGCATCAAAACCCAGTCACATGTCAGTGCCTCTGGGTAGCTGCTGATGGCCCCAGTGGGGCTTATGGAGGTTTACTGCACATAGTTTTACCTACTTTTTATAATTAAAAACAAAGTCCCCTAAGTGGCTCAGATTAATTGCATGCCTGGCTGGCAGGCATTACCGTGTGTATTCTTGGCACAACCAGCTACGCTCCTTCTGCCTTTAAACCCATTCAGAGCAGATCCTATTAAATGAGATTCAAGATCAGAAGAAAATTTTGTGATCATCTAAACCTATCTCCAGCGATCATCCCGTAATTCCTGGGTTTAAGCTGTAGAGGGCAGGGACTGTCTCTTAATGTGCTTGTACAGTCCTGCACTGATCCCAACAGGAGCCTTTGGATGCGATTGCAATACAAATATTATTGATTGTACTCTCTTGCTGGCTCTTCTCCTCCCCTGCTATTTCCCCTGTCCTGCCTATTCCCCTTTGTCTTCCCTTTTTTTTTTCCTAGTGTCTCCTGCAGCCCCAGTTTGTGTTACACACCCTTAACAACATTAGCTGGATGTTTGATGGATGCCTTCAATATGCTGCCTGTAGCCTTCTTGAGCTGTTTTCCAATTACACATCCCTCTTCTTAATTTCATCCATCAATCTTCTGTTCTCCATTAAAAAAAATAAACAAACACATACACATAGCACAAAGCTGAGTATGATAGGGACAAAATGTTTCTCGTACTACTCTTGCTTCACGCTGCTTTGTCAGACTTCTCAATTCCCGGGACACAACAGCATCCCGTCTCCATTTAAGCTCATGTGCTGCTGCAGAGAGCATTATCTGAAAGGATTCAGGAGAAGAGAATGAGAGAAGCACACAGGGAGAAGAGCCCAGCCCCAGCTCGGATGCCCCAAACTGATGCCGAAGAGAAGCAAGATCTGGCCGAGACTCAGAGCATCATGTGTGACCAATCCCTTCATCTGCTGTTGACTAATTACCAACACAGGGTACAATTTGCTACAGGCAGGGCAGCTCAGATGTTGGGAGAAGGATAAGGATTCCCAGGCTGGAGAACAACCCAGGCAGCCTCACTGTTCAGATCCAACGTTAAGAGGTCACATATGTGACTTTCTTGCTGAATTGCAGAGTAATTTGAAAGGAAATGTTGGGTGGATGGTAGAGAAAGGTGCAAGTTAGGGA